GCTTTGCAGAGTAAGCATTAAACAGTGTAAGGGTGTGTAGCAGTCTACTGTCTCAATCCTCTTATCCCTTCACATGCTGTCACGTGGGGGGTATCAACACAAAGTCAATTTTGTTGCAATATAAAGTTTGAAAAGTACATTTTGATTGCAAAATTATACCAACACTCGAGAAATCGTGGTACAAAACCACTACACCTACCTTTTTAACTCTACTTCCGCTTATTTATAATGGCATGCTTCTAGGACTAGATATTACTAGGACCGGACCAATACTTAAAATCTCACTTTTATCTTATATTACTAAAGTTAGGAGTACCTATAGAGTACCCCAAAACTTTTTTTTTGATTAGGTTATAAAATAATGTGATTGTTTTTGTTTGTGCTTTTATGTTTATTTTTCAGATAAAAATATCAATGCCACATGTAAATGCCTAATCAATGAAGCTTGAAACTTATGTAATGTATTCTGGCTTCCTTTGCTTTCATCCTATGAAGCGTCGTCTATTTTGAGAATTGCATCAATCAAAGCTTTATTTATGTCTGTTATCTTAGTTTCAATTAATACTAACATTTCATTTTACGGTGATACAATTTCTAATACTAACATCATATCATCAAAGGCAAAGCCAATAGAAGGAAGTTGTTGCTTACAACATTCCCAAGACGAAGAATGCATTGAAATCGGGGCTCCTTCAAGGACGTACAAGTCAACAGCTTTGTCTTCGGGAAGCGTTATGTCAAGCTCAGACCAAAATCCACAAGGACAAAAGCAATCGAGGTTATGAAAGCTGAACAAAATTTTAATTAAACTACAGAGCAGAAGCTAGTTAAGGAAATTACAACAATTAACTAGCTGATTAGTTCCATTTCTGGTCAGCATGCTTGACGTGGTGAACAAGTCCAGCGTCAAGCAGTTGTGAAATCCCATGGCCTGTTTGAGTGGCTATATCGGCTAAACGTCCTTGAACGACGCCGGTTTTCCCAAATGTAAAGAAAATGTCAGGGTTTTTACGTCTTGAATTAATAAAAACTCAAGAAGAATCATTCATGGTCAAGCTGGTAGCTAAAGGATTAACTAATCAAACAACCTTGAGCTTAATTTTAAAATGTATTATTTCTGTTTTATTTAGTATTAGATATTTCGGACAGCTAAGAGTATTAGTTTTATTGAAGTTAATAATAAAACTTTATTCGTAAAAAAATCTTATAAATAAAGTTGTAATAAACAACTTTCTTGTCATTTATCTTTGAATTAATAACAAAAACCCTAAAATTTATAGAATTCCATCTTGCTCGAACGTTCAAACACATATGTATATGTCTTGTTCAAACTCAAGATTTCTAAAGATAACAAACATCCCTTAATCATTGATTCGTCGTTCTTATTATTGCTCCTTAAATGGAACTGGGCTTGATTGATTTTACAAGAATCTTCAGATTGCTAATGGATTTAGGCGGATCGTGTTTGGGCTTACTACACCCAAATAAAAGAATAGTTTTTCATTTTCACATCTACGGTACGGAAGAATGCTCAAACCCGAGCAAGGATTTATGATATTTCAACATACCTTTGTTTATCTTTCATGATAATCCCATCGGAAGGAGATGATTAATAGATTTTATGTTAATTAAACAGGGTTCAACTACTCCCTTCAAGCTTATTCACACACATTAAACTCTAAATTTTAAAATATTATTACACGACACAATTAAAAATATTGAAAAAAGAGGCTGAAGATACAAAAATAATGTAGTAGTAAAAGCAATTCGAAGTTTCACATGCGCTGGGTGAGAGGTCCTCATTCCTTCACCAACATTATTACATAATAATAGCTTTTAGAATCTTCCATGTGGGCGAATCAAGTAGTCGTAGCTTTCCAAATTATTTGATTTTCACCCAATAGGGGACCCATTCACATCACCTTTGTTGTCCCATTTCATTGCACTCTATCATGTATACAATCAGTAAAAGTTTGATTAAATTTATATCATCCGTTAATATAAATAATAATTTTTTTGAAAACAAATAACCAAATGTTTTTACACCGCCTAAACACTACTTATAAAGTTAATCTTTATAATTAATTAGCCACCAACTGTGGGCTCAAATCCTGAAGTTAGATAATGGTGGATACAAGAGATGCCATTACTTTGTGTTTCCTTAAACCATTACTGGGATTGGAGCATTTAATTTTCAAGTGCCATATCTTTTCTCCCCTATCAAGGAAATGAATGCATGTGGCTGAGAAATGTAGCATGAAACAGGGATTTAATTAGAGTTTGGTTAGGGATGTAATCATGCATTTAGTGAAGGGAAATTTGCCAAGATGGCCCCATTCAACCTTATTATAATAAAAGCTTTTTGCCCTAGCGATCAACTCCAAGATTATTTGTCCATGATGTTAACATAGAGGACGCACCCACACCAACAATCGGCAGAAGTTGGTGTCGAAAGATAAAAGTCTGTTTCAGTAATCCACTTCCGTTCATGTTTAGGAAGCTTCCCCCTTCCGTACACTCTACCAACTTTTCTACATGCTTATAAACTTGCTGTTCGTTTGAAAACTACGTAATTATTTGGATTTGGGGTTCAGCTTATGGGTTAAGATTTTGTACTATACCTGTATCTTTGATATTTTATTTTATCAAATAAAATTAATTTATTGATGAACGTAGAACGCGTAATTGAGTACATATTCTAACCCAAAATTCCAAGGCTTCTTATCTTAGGATTCAAACCTGTTTTAAAGTCCATAGAATTATAATTATACGACCTCCCCCGTAATTAGACTTTAGAAAGCAATGAATATCAACATCATATATATCATTCAAATTAATTAATTGATCACTCCTCCCATAGAAATCATAAACGTAAACTTTTTAAGTATTTTGAAAATGGTGCGTATTTTTTAAAATTATATTTCCAAAAACATTAAATGTTTTTTATTAGAAAAAAACGCACATGAACCATTAGTAGCACATGATAATATAGTAATTGAAGTGTGCCTTTTTCCTTCATATGCCTATCATGTGGTGTCATAATTGAGTCATCTGCACCGTCAAATAATCCTTTGCCATAGAATAAAAGTGGACTAATGCCACCGCTGGCAGCGGCCGTCAAACATTGGAGATGTACACGTGGTCATAATTGTCCGGAGGAATTTTCTTAGTGGTGGTGACGAAAGCCGACCGTCCTCGGGCGGGCAACCGCCCAAAGAATAAAGGGAACCAAAGTCCACTTTTCAAAAGAGCCTCACCAGCCTGGCCTACCGTTCAAGACTCTCACTCATTTCATTTACCAAAACTACCCTTTCGTGGATTAGCTACTTTTTGAGGGTCTGAAATTTGTAGGGGCCATTAATGAATCATTTAATTTTTTAATTAAAACATTATTATTATTTTACTAAACTAGCAAGTTACGTACTAACCAACGATTATAAAAAAGAGATCATATGATCTTTGGAGGAGCTTTTATTTATGGAATATTATTAAATTCAACATCATGTTATTTTTTAAATGATAATCAAGAAAACACAGTAAGAAAATGAAGAAAATCAATAATCAAACTAAATTGTAACTTTTAAAATGATTTATGATTTAAAATTATTTAAATAAAAAAATTAAATCATATTTTTATTTAGTTTATAATTAATTTTTATTTTATTTAAATAGTGAAAATGTGTTTAGAACATTATAAAAGGTTGTTAATCATTTTTATTATATAAATCATTTTAAAAATATTTATGAAATGACTTTAAAAATCTATCAGTATTGTAAAAATATATAACAAAATCACTTTTTGAAAAATAAAATAAGAAAAGGTAGAAAACCAAATTCAACATAAAAAGCTAAATGAAGGTTTTTTACATTTTGGTACTCTTAAATGTTACTGTTAAATTTATTATTTTAAAAAATGATTATTCCTATAAATTTCAAATAATTTCAGTCCACAGATTTTAGTCATAATCAGACTCGATAAAATCAAAGAAGCAAAGTGGTTTTGACTTTTATGGTAACACAATCTCTTCCGCAGTTTCCTAAAATCCATGCAAAACACAAACCTAATTAAAATTTGAGTAAATCACATCACATGCCACTAATTTATTAATAAGATTATAAATGATCTTTTAATTTTATAAAATACAAATTAATTACTCAATTAATCGATTATTACAAAAATGTCACTTTAACGTTAAATATTATATGACTTTGTGTTGTGAATTATTTTATTCATTTAAACATGTTACATTTCATAGAGTTTTGATCACCTACCCCATTAATTAATTGTAACAGTCATATCATATGTCAATGGGATAATCACTGTCAACCATCATATATGATGATGGACAATGAACTCTAATTTTCACTATAACATTCACTTCAATCTTCTCATTCAATTAATTAGATTAAATTCTTGCGAATCACTATCAAAAGCCATGAAATCATCGATTTTTATTATCAATTGTCAGATGTCCTTTGTCTTGAGATAGGTTCTTCCTCTCACTGATGACAATCTCTTCACCATTCGAAAAATGAACTCTTAGTTTTTGAGAAACCAAAAATTGAAATGAATTTTCTTTTTCGATTAATTTAAAATTAGATGAGTTGTTTATAAATTTACTAATAATTGGACAACGTATAATTTAATCAATAAGAAAATCATTAAAAATGTTTCCTAACGATATCATTTAAAATCCTTTTAATTTTTAAGGATTTCACATTTTCACGATATTTATTAATTAAGTGGCTTATTTGTAACTTGTAAAAGTTAGGTGACTCATTTGTAATCTTGCTAAGAAATGAGTGATTTGTGATATAATTTTCTCCTAACAATTAAGAAATCTTAAACACAAAGGGATAGCGTCGTCATTTCCTTATACCAAAATGGTCGATTCTTTCTTCAAAAGCTACAAAGTGAACAAGTACCAAGTCCTTTTTTTTTCCGTCTTCTATTTATTTGCTTAATATTTTACCGTGTCTTTATAGTAGTCTTTATCCTTCGCCGTCCTTTTTTGTCCTTCTTTTCTTTCCTTTTCCTCATTGACAACCTTCTCATATAGCACCAAAAACCCAGATAATAAACCAGCCAGACCAAACCGACAGAAAAAGAAGAAGGAAGCTTGAGTCGTAACAGAGGATTATCACTCGATAAATGGGTTGAAACAGAGAAAAAGTTGTTCTTTTGTTCATCAACAGATGCTTATAATCAAAACCCAGAAACCATTTTTTCTTCAAAAAGAATAAAATTGATCGTAAGCTTTTTTATTCTATTCTACAACTCATGTTTGATGTATTTAATGGTTTTGTGCATACAAATTGTTCTTTCTTTTTATGGTCGATGATTTTTGTTAGTCTTCATTATTCTTATAGTTCTTTTTCAGGTAATTTAGTTGTTGAATTATGCTTAAGTTGATAAAATTTAACTAGTTTCATGATGACCAGATGGTTTTCGATGATTTCTATGTTATGCAGCTGATTCTGTATCTGAAATTTATTTTTAAGCATTTTTTTGTTGATCAGATTCTACCTTACCTTTTTCAATCCACCTGTTTTAATTATGCGTTATTTTGATCAGGCAACTTTGTGGTAGTTTTGTACGGTTACTAGGCTGCTCCTTGACGTATTTGGACCGTTGGATTATTATGATCAGGTTATTTTTTGTGCTCCTTTTTTTTTTATCCTTTTAAGTTCCTGATCATGTGATCAAGTAATGTTTTTCCTTCATGTCAAAACTGAATTGTTTTGTTTTTTGTTTGTTGATATCAGGAAATAAGCACAGAGGGCTGAGAGGTTTCAAGATTTTTAATTTCTCAATCTTAAAGTGGGTAGTTTGTAGTAGAAGAAACTTGTTTCGGGTTGATCCATCACCGAGTTCTCTGAATTAAGAATTCTTATCCGTGGCCGGAATCAGGAATCGGTATTGTTGAGGACTAAAGTCATGGCAACTGTGAAGCGTACCGATTCTAAAGGCATGTACTCATGGTGGTGGAACAGCCACATAAGCCGGAAAAATTCGAAATGGCTCCAGGAGAATCTCACAGGTAATCCGATCATAATGGTATGATGAACTATAAACAGTTGAGTAGTAACAGTTAAAGATTTTTTAAAATGCGTATGGGAACTTGGTTTAGAAGCTTGATAATGTATTTGATTCTGTATTGAGTTTGCTTGGTGGCTTTCATTAATCGAACCGAGTTTGAAAGAGCAAAATTGATTATTGAATCCAATAAGATTTTGCCTGGTGGTAATGAGATTCCTCTTTCTCTGGTCTCATAATTTTGTTTGATTGCTGCATTGGAATTTTCATTCTTTCTCTGTATATCTGTTTTTTGACCCATCGAAATATCTTATGCATGAACAGATATGGATACAAAGGTCAAGCAAATGATCAAGCTCATTGAAGAAGATGCTGATTCCTTTGCTAGGCGAGCAGAGATGTATTACAAGAAGCGCCCGGAATTAATGAAATTGGTAGAAGAGTTTTATCGGGCATACCGTGCATTGGCTGACAGATATGATCATGCAACCGGGGTGATTCGTCAGGCTCATCGGACCATGGCAGAAGTGTTCCCTAACCAAGTTCCCATGGTATTTGCAGATGACAAACCGGGAGTTTCTGCTACTGATGTAGATCCCCGTACACCTGAGATAACACCACTTGTACGTGCATATTTGGAGCCTGATGAGTTGCAGAAGGATGCTGTTGGAATCTCTTCACTTTCTACCAAGAGGATTGCAGCATTCACTGAAGAATCTGACTCTCCAGTGGTCAGAAAAGGTCTTAAACATTTCTTTCATGATGTAGAGGAGAAAGAAAGAAGTCTGCAAGACAACGAGGTTTCTGACATCAGGGTTCGAGTCCCTTCTGAGTCTGAACGAGTGAGTAAAGCTGAGATGGAGATTTTTACCTTGAAGAATGCTCTTGCGAGATTAGAAGCTGAAAAAGAAGCTGGCCTATTTGAGTACCAACAGAGCTTGGAGAGATTGTCCAATCTAGAGAAAGAATTCTCTCGTGCAGAAGAAGATTCCAAGGGGCTTAATGAACGAGCAAGTCAAGCTGAAGCTGAAGTTCAGACTTTGAAGGATGCCCTCACCAAATTAGAGGCCGAAAGAGAATCTAATCTTGCACAATACCAGCAGTGCTTGGAGAAGATCAATAATCTCCAGAATAGTATTTCTAATGCTCAAAAAGATGCTGGAGAACTGAGTGAGCGAGCTAGTAAATCCGAGACAGAAGCTCAAGCTTTAAAGCAGGACCTTGCTAGAGTAGAAGCTGAAAAGGAGGATGCTCTTGCTCGATACAAGCAGTGTTCAGAGGCAATAAGCAATCTGGAAGAAAAACTATTGAATGCTCAAGAAAGTGTCAGCAGGATGGCAGAAAGAGCAGAGAAGGCTGAAAGTGAAGTTGTGACTTTAAAGCAAGTAGTTCTTGAGCTGACCAAAGATAAGGAAGCAGCAGCTCTTCAGTACCAGCAGTGCTTGGAGATTTTTGATATCCTGGAAAAAAGACTTAAATGTGCGGAGGAGGAGGCTCAAAAGCTCAAAAGTGAGTTGGATGATGGGGCTGATAAGTTAAAAGGTGCTGAAGTAAGGTGTAGCCTGTTGGAGAAAACCAATCAGAGTCTGCATACCGAGGTGGAGTCTTTGGTGAAGAAGATGGGGGATCAAAGCCAGGAATTAACAGAGAAACAGAAGGAGTTGGGGAGACTTTGGACCTCCATACAAGAGGAACGCCTGAGATTTATGGAGGCTGAAACAGCATTTCAAACTCTGCAGCATTTGCACTCTCAATCTCAGGAAGAACTCAGATTTCTCGCCATGGAGCTTCAGAACAGGACTCAAATTTTACAGGACTTTGAAACTCGTAATCAGGGTTTGGAGGATGAACTACAGAAGGTCAAGGAGGAGAATTCGAGCCTGAACGAACTCAGTTTAAGTTCAGCTGTGTCTATCAAGAATTTGCAAGATGAGATTTTAAGCTTAATGGAGACTATAGCAAAACTTGAGGCTGAAGTTGAACTTAGAGTGGACCAAAGAAACGCTCTTCAGCAAGAAATTTACTGTTTAAAAGAGGAGCTCAATGACTTAAACAAAAGACACCAGGATATGACAGTGCAGCTGGAGTCAGTTTGCTTAAATCCAGAAAACTTTGCATCCTCTGTGAAGGAATTGCAGGATGAGAACATGGAGCTTAAAGATGTCTGCGAAAAAGAAAGAGATGAAAAGATGGCCCTCCTGGAGAAGCTGAAAATCATGGAGAAACTTATTGAGAAGAATGCCCTTTTAGAGAATTCACTCTCGGATTTGAATGTCGAATTAGAAGGTGTTCGGGGGAGAGTAAAGACGTTGGAAGAAACCTGTCAATCACTTTTGAGAGAGAAAACCACCCTTGCTGCTGAGAAGGACACACTCATTTGTCAGTTACAGACTGCAACAGAGAATCTGGAGAAGTTTTCTGAGAAGAATAACTTTCTGGAGAATACCCTTTCTGATGTTAATGCCGAACTTGAAGGGTCGAGGGAAATATTAAGGAGCTTAGAAAACTCCTGCATGTTGCTTGATGATGAGAAGTCTGGTCTGATAACAGAGAGAGAAGGTTTGGTTTCTCAGTTGGATGTCAGTCAGAAAAGGCTGGAAGATTTAGAGGAAAAATACAAGGGACTAGAAGAAAAATATGTAGTTCTGGAGAAAGTGAGAGAATCAACACTTCGTGAAGTGGAAGAGCTGCAAAAGTCATTAGGGGCTGAAATGCAAAAACATGCCAGTTTTGTGCAGTTGAGTAAAACCCGAGAAACTGCTATGGAATCTCAGATCCATTTTCTGCAAGGTGAAAGTCTATTCAGGAAGAAAGAATCTGAAGAGGAGCAAGACAAGGCCATGAATGCTCAAGTAGAAGTTTTCATCTTGCAGAAATGTGCACAAGATATGGAAGAGCAGAATTTGTCCCTATTGCTCGAGTGTACGAAACTCTTGGAAGCCTCCAAATTATCAGAAAAACTTATCTCTGAATTGGAGCTTGGAAATTGTGAAAAGCAGATGGAGATAAAATCCTTATTTGATCAAATTACCATACTGAGAGTGGGGCTTTATCAGGTGTTGAGGACTCTTGATGCTAATGGTATCCATGGTTACGATGATAAGATCAGTCAAGACCAATCAGTTCTTGAACGTGTATTTGGCAGACTCCAAGAGATGCAAAATTCACTTCTAAAGTCTCTGGAAGAAAATCAGCAATTCATAATTGAGAATTCAGTTCTTATTGCACTGCTCGGGCAACTGAAACTAGAGGCTGAAAATCTTGCTGCAGTGAAGAATTCACTGCTCAAGGAGTTGAATGTTCAGTCTGAGCAGTTTTTGAAGATGCAGATCAGAGCTGAAAAACTTGCGGATATGAATGAAGTACTGAGATCAAAAGTGGTAGAGGGAGGCCAAAGAGAAGAAAGTTTGCAGACTGAATTGATGAGTGTTCGTGGGCAACTGTTAGCCTTGCAAAGGCAATATCAGACGTCACTGGAAGACAACTGCAAGGTGCTAAATGAGAAAAGATCTTTGATGAAGGAAGTTTTAGACTTGGACAAGCAGAAACATGATCTAGAAGAGGAAAACTCTGCTGTAATTTCTGAAGCGATATCTCAAAGTAACATTTCTCTTATTTTGAAGGATATTATTGTTGATAATTTTGAAGATATAAAGTATCTCAGTGACAATCTGAGTAAACTCAAATGTGTCAATAGTGATCTCGAGGGAAAATTGAAGATAATGGAGAAGCAGCTTGAAGATATACAAATGGAAAACTCAAATCTCAATGATGCCATGAAAAAATTGAACAATGAACTGGTTTCAGTTAGATCTGTTGGTGATCAGTTAAATGCTGAAGTTGCAAAGAGAAAGGATTTGCTGTGCCAGAAGGAGATTGCACTACTGGAAGCAGAACAAATGCTCGGTGCAATTCAAGAGGAGAGAGCCCGACTTCATAAAGTTTTGGAGGATCTGCAGACTAAATATGAGGAGGTCAAGCGGATAGGAGAAGATCAAAAGAAGCAAATTATGAAACTCTCTGGGGACTATGATCATCAAAGTAAGGAGACTGAAAGCATTCGTCAGGTCAATCAGAAACTTGAGGTTGAACTGTTGATATTGAACGAGGAACTTGAAGAAAGCAAACATACGGAGGAGAGTTTGAGCCTTGAACTAGAAAAGGGAAGAAATGAAGTTGAAATTTGGGAAACTCAGGCTGCTGCATGGTTTGGTGAGCTACATACTTCAGCTGTCCGTGAAGCAATTTTTGAAGAGAAGGCTCGTGAGCTCAGTAAGGAGTGTGATGTCCGTGAAAGTAGAAGAAATTCCAAAGCTATGGAGGTAGAAGAGCTGGAAAGAAGTGTTAGAATCTTGGAAAGTGAGAATGAAGGGCTTAAAGCTCAGTTGGAAGCATATGTTCCTGCAATTGTTTCTCTAATGGACAGCTTGACATCTTTGGAGAGTCGAACTCTCCTGCACCCTAAACTTCCCTCAGATCATACTGAATTAAAGGTAATGTTTGTTTGCTTATGATTTCATATTTTCTTTTTAAATTTTAATAAACCAAAGCAATATGGACTCCATTCTATTTGGTTGAATATACAACTTAAGTTTTAAGCCAACCATATACCTCCTTGACCTATGCGAGCATCTCGTGGTTTATTTACACAAGCAAATTCATGCCCCTAGTTTTCCGAGTTTGCACCAGTATATGTTTACTAACATGATACTTTTTGAAACTTCTTGTTCCCATGAGAAAGTTGTTTAGTATTTTTATTGAATTAATGCTTGGCACTTTTACCAAGTTTTTCATTACTGAAAGTATGTCAGAACTTTGTCAAAGTGTAAGCTAGTTCTGTTGAGAATATAGATCTTCATAAGTTGGACATAAAAGCTAGTTCTGTCGGTAAATTATCATTTATGTTAACAGTGCCATGGATCTCAAATGGTTTTGAGCTTTGATTCTTTGCCTTACAATTGTCTTGTTTTACAGGATGCCGATCTGGGAGCTGAATTGCATGCTGAAAACTCTCAACAAACAAGTGAAGGTCAAATTGCCCTGGTTCCTGATGGTTTCTCCGACTTGCAGGGTATCCATATGAGAATTAAAGCTATTGAAGAAGCAGTTCTGGAAATGGAAAAGCTTGCAATGCTGGAAAACTTAAATCTCAATTCCAAACTAGAGAATGCTACGAAACAGATTGAAGAGTTAAAATTTGGAAGCAGCTCTAGTCGAGAAAGTGTTAGAGCAAAGAGGCAGATAAATGCTAGACAAGAAGGGGAAGAACTTGGCTATCGGCTCAGTAACAATGTCAACGTCCAGAGACCAACTCCTGAAATATCTGAGGAAAACGAGATGATGACAAAAGATATCATACTTGATCAGATATCTGAGTGTTCATCCTATAATTTAAGTAGGAGAACCGCTGCAGAGATTGATGCTCAGATGTTCGAATCGTGGGAAACTACCAACTGTGATGCTAATGTTGACTTGGAAGTAAGCAAGGCCCAAAAAATGGCCACTGCACCAACTGACTACCAAAAAATTGGAACAGTGAAGGCACGCAAAGGCAGAACTCCGTCTACAGAATCTCTTGTGAAGGAGTTGGGTGTAGATCAAGAGAGTTCTAATAGATTTTCAGAGCCCAACCACGACGGAAGCAAGAGGAAGATTTTGCAAAGACTTGATTCTGATGCAAAAAAGTTGGCTAACCTTCAAATAACTGTGCAGGACCTGAAGAAGAAGGTAGAGATAACCGAGACAAGCAATAAGGGGAAAGGAATTGAATATGGTACAGTGAAAGAGCAGCTAGAAGAAGCTGAGGAAGCCATCATGAAGCTATTTGATGTGACCCGCAATTTCATAACACATGTTGAAGATGGTTCCTGGTCTTTTGATGTGAAATCTGCACTAGAACCAGATGATAATTTGAATGTAACGAGGCGGAGAATATCAGAACAAGCTCGAAGGGGGTCTGAAAAGATTGGCCGGTTGCAGTTGGAGGTGCAGAAGATACAGTTTCTCTTATTGGATATTGATGATAAACAAAAAAGCAAAGCACAAACCAGAATTTCTGAGTACAAAAGAAGAGTTTTATTGCGGGACTATCTTTATGGTGGGGTAAAAACCAGTCAGAAGAAGACGAAATCACACTTTTGCTCATGCGTGCAACCCCCAACTAAAGAAAAATGAGGCTATCACTCGTCATCGGCACAATACATTTTAAGTAGTTTACCAGTAATTTAACTTAAGTTGCATTGTCCATAAATCTGTCTTACTAGTTGTGTTTTACTTATATTTATTTTCTTATACAAGCATTCTTCTTCTTTTACTTTTTAAGAGATTTCCTGCTGTATATTACAGGCACTATCTCATTGAAGAAGCTGCACTTTTATAGCCTAAAAGTTTCCTTCTGTATATGTGTTTTTACTTTGGCATAAATATGGATTTCAATACCAACTATTTTCTTCAAAATCGATATATGTTGGTTTCGTTTGCTTCAATCTTTTGTGCATTTCATTAAGAGTTATTTAAGTATTCCATGGTGGGGTGGTGTTAGCTCATTGGCAAGGAAGGTTGGGAATTACCATGCTTGGAAATTGGTACAAAATTTCTACAAAATTACAGCACTCGTACAGATTGGGCTTTAGTTTCCAAACTTCCACACGAAATTTACAGTGTCAAGAACAATGTCGTTTGATTTGTTTCCAAATAGTTCTAATCTTTGCTCGAGTTTAGAAACTTATTCAGAAAACAAAATACTGATTGTTTACACAGTAGCATTGTAGTCAACAGCATTCGTTGATGCTCATTTTTCTTGAAACTTCATTGCCATGATATGTATCACTCTACAACTTATTTTTGGATCCAATGGAAGCATCTAAAGTTTAATATGGCTTTGCAACCTGATTCTTGGATGACAGAAGTGAATTATAATCAATACATGAAAAGAAAAATTATGTTCCTGTTAAGCTTTAGACGTTGTTCCATGGCTGCGGTTCCTCATTGGTGGAGTCTGGTTTGCATGTATGAAGCTTGTAATGGCAGGCTTCCACAGCTTCTCCTACTGTCAAATATATCCATTCTTGCCCTATCGTTTCTATGAACTTAGATTTGTTCAGTTTCTTCATCACTTCGGCTCCAGGGTTGGCCAAAACAAGCTACGCAAGTAGAATGATAAATTTGGTAAGTTTTTTCCCATTAATTTTTACACAATGTTGCCAAGTAAATTGCAGGAGAAAATACCTTGAGCCCCCTTCTGTCGGTAGTTTTCTTCACTTCTTCAAGCATGCTTATTCCACTAGTATCAATGTTACCAACAGCTATGAAACCAACAATATAATATCCTCGTAAGATTCTCTATATAATTTTTTTGTTCTTTGACATAATATGGCTGCAGTTCTTGCTGGATGGATAAAATCACTCACCACTCATATGAAGTATAACATACTGTAGGCCTGTTTCCCCTGCAGATTTCAGCCTGTCTTCCTCTTCATCAATCCACCTTGAAATCCTGATAAGATCAATCCATTTGATCAAATTAAGATAACTGATAACCTTGAAATGGATTTGGTGCAGTTTTAAGATAGTTTTTACAATCAAATTCAAGTACCTTTCTCTTAGGTAGCTTGCATTAGCAAAGTAAATTGGCGCATCAATCTCAAGTATAAGAATACCAGGAACACTGTTTGTAGTTGGATATTGCTCAACGTTTCTGTAGATGGTGGAATTCGGAATGTTTCCGAGAACAAATGTCCTCGGTCTTGCAACGAACAGCAGCAATCTCAGCACAGATATTGCAACCTGCATTTTATTACAGACTCATTAGAAGATTTTGTTATTGGTGAAGGAAATAGATTTATTTTCAGTTGTGTTTTTGTTGATATATGCATGATCGTACCGCTATGACTAACCCAACCTCCACGCTTGCTAAAACGACACCGAGGTATGCGCCCATACACACCATGAAATCAAATTTATCGACCTTCCAAAGATGAATTGCAGCCTCGTAATCGATGAGGCCAAACATTGCAGCCATTATTATTGCAGACAACACCACGAGGGGAGTGTAATGGAATAGTGGTGTTAGGAACATCAATGTGACCATAACTGCAAAGGCCATGACAACGTTCGACATTGCCGTCTTACATCCTGCATTGAAGTTAACAGCCGACCGAGAAAATGGCCCTGAAAAACATATCAACACCAATGCCACAATTAGCCAATTATCAAAAACCATTTCTTTGTGCTTCAAAGGAAAACCAGCAGCAAGATTCACCTGTTGTGAGATAGCAAGAAAAGCAAGAACCAACAATGTTCATGGTCCCAATAGCTACCATTTCTTTGTTCCCATCAATGTGGTACTGCTTGAACATGGCGAAACTTCTTCCCACTGCTATTCCTTCCTGTATTAACACCAAACAGCAAGTACAATCAGTTTACGTATTGTCTTTAAACTAATGAAATTGATGTCATTTAAAGTTAGAACCGAGAAAGGTAGCTTACGGTGAGGGCAATGATGCCAGTGACCATGCCGGTCTGCACGGCTGTTGACAAATACGAAGAGGTGAATACAAAATCCCCAAACGACGGTGGATTCAACCCTTTCTTCAAGTTCCCTATCTGCCATTGTCACGTCAATAAGGTTGCAACAAAGTCAGAAGCTCTTCATACTTCCACGAAATAAAAACAAAAACATAAATTTTATGACAAGAATGACTGTGAGATAAACCGTGTTTTTCTACCACTTGAATTCCGTGTTTTTCGGCATGTGTGAGATAAACGAGAAGACTTCCAAGAATGACTGATGTCAAAGGTGCCATTGCTGATATCCAAAATAGCTTGGGTCGTCGTTTGCCCTGTTTGTCATGGAAGAGTCCAAAGATTATGTGTTATCTTAGAACATATATTATATAAACTATATTTGTGTTTTTTTAATAATAATAACAAATAAGATTTACTTACGAAGTATCTGGTGATGAGGAGGAAGAAGAGGAAAACAATGCCCAACACAGCACTCTCCCATCTCCACTGTCAAATATTAGATATTACGACTGTCAGACTATTATATATTATCACCAAACATACTATTATGAGTGAATTGTCAGACAACTCTTTCTCAAAATATCAGGCCGTGGATGTGAACATGCATATATAAAAAATAATAACAATAATCATTTGTCTATAAGACTATAATTGTATTATAAATATTGAAGTACCCGTGAACCATGGCACATTAATCCTTTTCCTCACTTTTATAGAAAAATATTATTTTATTTTCAATAAAGATACTTATCATAGGTTTCAGAAGAGGATAAAACGATAGAATTATAAGTGTTTTTATTATATATATTTTTTACTGCGGATAAAAATTTATAAAATAAAGACTGACCTCGTGAATTTGGGAGAAGACGGAGCGCAAGACGGAGATAATATCGGTGGAACGAGTGAAGTGCTCGAGTCCTAGAACTCCCTTTAGCTGTTGCAATATCACCACGGTGGCTGCCCCTGCCATGAACCCTACTATCGTCGCATGCGAAAGAAAGTCCACTATAAACCCTAGCCTGCAAAAAGAAACAAAAAATACAACACCAATCATTCAATTAAATTTTCATTTTTACCATCAAGAATATCTACTGTGTTACTTTTATGTATACATATATGAAAAGGGTTTTTTTCTCTCTTTTCTTTGAATTGTTCTACGTTAATAAATTGTACCACTTTGGGTGTCAAATCCTATCCGACAATACATGACGATTGTCATCGGGATTGGGAAAGCAATGGTTCAATCGTATTCTGTGTAGATTCTCGTTGTTATATATAGTCATATTTTATTTCTTTCTAAATTCTTACTGGTATAGTAATGTTAGGTTCGTGAAGTTTAGGTTTAAACACATATCCATCCAGACAGCAGCAAGTTCCGGCAGCGAGACGACATAGTACAACATGTTCTCCTGTTATCCTTTTTTTCGTCAAATTAAGACCTTGCAACCAAAAATACTAATTGCTGTTTTTTACGCTATATACTTGACTTCTTTTTTAAGTGTAATTTTCAATCTAATTAACAGAAGTCGACCTCAAAAACCTTTACAGAACCTGAAGGAAGGGGAAGGAGAAGAGAGCTATATATATACGTGTGTGGGGTGGGGGTCATCAGTTTATATACCTTAAGAGGCCTAATGAAGCTTGCAGAATGCCGGCGAAAAAAGTTGCAGTGAAAGCAAGGTGAAGATAAAGCGTGGGATTCTCAGCAGCATTCACTCCGTTCCCCAACATAGAGCCCATGAGAAGTGATGCAACTGCAACAGTCCCTACGGCCAGATCTCTCGAACTCCCCATCATCGCATAAATCAATGGCGGAATAAAGCTTGAATCTTTATTTTCCAACCCCCCCCCCCCAAAAAAAAAAAAGAAGTTGATCAGTACCTTTTAAACAACTACGTAATTACTAATTATCTCATTGACTGATTAAGTTGGTTGTAAATAGTACTAATATTTTTAGTACTTACAAAGGCCGAGAATAGGCGGCAAGTTAGCGAGCTTAGCATAGCTAATACCCTGAGGGATTGCAAGACTGGCGATGGTGATCCCAGACATGAGGTCAGATTTCAAGAACTCAAAGCTGTATCGAGGACCCCATTCGAGAATGGGCATGACATATTGAAGTCCGAGTAAAAACTTGCGAGAAGGTGGTTTGTTCTTGAATTGCCTGAGTGGGTCATCCGGGAAGAACGTCTCCTTGAGAGAGTTCTTGAATGACTTGAAAAACGGTTGCGGCGGAGGAACGGCCACTTGGTGAGGAGAGTGGCGGTCGGGGTAGACATAATCGGAGTTCCCCATCAAAGTAATGTTTGCGTTTAGTTTAAGTGGAGGAGATTCAAAGGAAGATAGAGAGAGGAGATGGTGGAAGGAGGGTACATGGGAAATGGGAAGACCTTGGGGGTGGTTTTATAGGAGGGAAATCATGCATATTCATTCACTCGGTTCAGTGGGGTAAGGGACCCGCCTCAGTGTTAACTCCCTCTCTTCTTTCTCTACTTCAGCTTTTCAAGGTGTTTTCCCTTCAATATAATTAAATATATATTTAAACATGAATCAATTGATATGTAGTTTAAAAATAGTTATTATTTTTAAAAATTTAAATATAATATTTATATAGATGTTTAAGTGTTTATTGTTAAATTAAAAGAAAATATCTGATTTATATATTAATTTAAAAATATTTTTAAAAAAAATATGAGTAGTTCAATTATCATTGGTATATTATAATCTTTTTAATAAAATAAATTCTTCGGCTGCTCACCTCGTGCAGGTTTTGTCCGTGAAGGGGGAGGGTTTTCAAAATTCTACTTTGTTGGGAAGACTACTAATGGGCGACGTGGCTTATTATCCAACGTGTTGAACCGTCATTGGATAATACAGGAAAACAAATTCTTCATTGACACATAAATTAATGGCAGTTACTTAATACTATCGGTGATTATGGTTTATGA